GTTGGAGCCTCTGAAGGAACCGGGCCGTGCTTCTGCTCTCGGGAAACGAAGAGTCGAAACGGTCACAAGTTTAAGTGCTGCTTGTGACGGCAAAGGAGATCTTTGACGCTCCTCCAGCAAGAGAAAGATATGAATAGATGTGAGCTTGCATTGCAAATGATGAAAACTCTCTTTTCTAACCTGAAATTAATTTTAGTAATTTCTTGGAGGTGACAGGTCTCAGGACAATTGCTCATTGCTGTCCTCTTTAAAACGAGTATAGCTGTCTTTCTTTGTTAAAAATCTAAAAAAATAATAATTTTAAGAACTACTGTAAAACTATTACCTTTAGCTGCATGTGTCAACACTTAAAATAATCCTGATAAAATGTCTGGAGATCTTGTGGCCATGAACTTCCTAACCACTACGTTTGGTGTCCCATCATGACACAGTAATCTGAAAATGGTTATTTAATAATCAGAAGAACTATTGGTTTTGCTGGTTATTGCTACCTAGTGGCACTGTTGATACTCTTAGAAGCAGGGTGATTGCTTGTTGATCATACACAAATGGTAAGAAAGGTGACTGGGAGGATGATGTAATAAGAAGGAAGAATTCATCATGCTGGTATATAACTTTTTTCTTTGGCCTGGTTGCTTAGGGCAGCATTCTGTGATCTGTGTGAAATAGGGCTAGATTCTGCACCAAAGAGTAAGCTGTATTGTAATGGGCATCCTTGTGTGAGTAGTTTCTGGAGGGCTGTTAAATAAAAAGTGGCCAGTGTGCATAACTAAGCAGTTAAGACATTTAAATTAATTTGTTTACAGGGAAATTTGCTTTCAAACATAAGGCTGCCTGCTTTCCAGAGTTGCTGGAATTTCAAAAGCAAATAATTGGCATTCATTATCAGAAGTAAATTGTCTTTTAACTCTTCTATTTTGTGTAATTAGTGTGTATATAGTTCTCAGTGGCAGAATGTAAGCTAAAATTTTGCAAACTAGAAACCCTAACATTAGGAGTTTGGGGATGTAACTGTATTTGAAAAAGCTGGTCAAAGCTGTCAAGCAGTTCCAGCATTATGGATAACAACTTAGAGAGCGGGAGTCACTTCGTGCCTTTCAACTGAGTTATTTTTTTCACATGATTTTAAATGACTAGGGAAGAATGTATAGAATTTGTGTTCACGAAGTATTACTGTATTACGTCTTAAACTTTGTGATATCCATTTTTGTGGGAGGAGGTTGGCTTCTGGTTTGTGCACGGTATTACGGGCTCTCTGCATTAATGTTGGGTGTCACAGGAAATTGCTATTTGATGGTACAACAAGTAACTATCCGTATAGATATAAAATACATTGCTGAAAGTGAAGTAAAGCAGCAGTGTATGAAAGTGCTCCTGCCGTGCCCCTGCCTGTGGCAGGTAACTTAGCCTGCAGGGTAGGAAGTCCTGAGATGTGTCAGAGGGAAGCTAGAGCATTGGTACAGCTGAAGCACTGGTACAATATGCAGTTAATTAGCTGATTTAGACCTATTAGTTATGCTGCTTTACTATGTTCAAGAAAATCCATGATCAGAATCCTTGTCAAGTCTGTTTTGCATCTGTTGATGCAGGAAAAAATGCAAGTGTGGGGTAGGCTCTGAAGCTTCCCCCTTTGGTAATGAAGGACTTAAAAGCATTAGTGGCTTGGCACAGTGGAAGAGGTAGGCAGTAAATGGAAAGGGTCAGATGCATCTTGGAAAGAGAAGGATGAGTATTTAGTGATTGATTGTGAAGTCTCATTTCTAACAATGTCACAGCACGTATGCTATTCGACCACATTGTAACTTAAGAATCTCTATGCAAAAAAACCTGCCCCACACCCTAGTTCTCGCTTGCTTACCATTGTTCTTGCCTTTAAAGATGGCATTGGTCTGAGAAATAAATGAAGTACAGAGCTTGTATTAATGCTAAAACTCTTTGTGAAAGAGGAGAGGAAAATATGTAAGTAAACTAGTTTGAACAAGTTTCAGATGCAAGCTACAAAGGAAGAATCTCCTGTGGTTGTGGGAATGGTGTCATTAGTCTACCTGCTCTGTCTGTCCTACATGCCTATGAATCACTGTATTTCTGTCCAACTATAACATACCTACACTTCAATATGAAAAAAATATTTTGTAGGTGCGGGACTGCATTCAGAAAACACTGACTGAGTGGAGCTCCAAGATTGGACAAGATCTGAATCAGGTAGGAGAGGTGCTATGTGTGTTACCCGTGTTACATGGGAAGACAGAGATATGTAGTTGGTTAGACCTTTTGAAATATAAATTAACCTATTAAATTTCTGTAAAAGTATCTGCAGGTCCAGATATCTTAAAACACTATTTCTTAACCCCTCTTTTTTTTTTTTTAGTATTTAGCAAATTTGGAGAGGTTCAGAAATGTCACAGTAAAGAATCCTGTTGATGGTAAATAAGGCAATTCTTAACAAAATAAAAGTCCTGGTTTGTAAGATTTCAAGTTAATTGTGGGGGAATAAAAAAAAAATAAAAATCTGTACCTTAGGAGTTTGTTAGCGTGCTTGTAAAAACTCAATGGAGAATTACCTGAAATGTGGAGATTATAAACTAGATAGCTGAATCATCCCGTTTGGTGGGGAACTCTGAAGTATAGCTTTGGTTGTCTCAGAAATATTTCTAAAGATGCAGAAGTGACAGTTTTTCCTTTAAGAGCTAAAGACTTCCACATAATTCTTAAAACCACAGTCATGAGCATTTGACATCAAAATCTTGGTGTATTTGCCTGCTCCTCTTTCGCTATTGCTTCTGAAATTCAGCAAAGCAGTAACAGGTTCCCACTGAATACATTGCTTGCTCTATGAAACACGAGCATGCTTCATTAAAAAAGAAACATCACGCTTTCCCGATGGTTTATTTGAGTTTTCTTACCAGTTCATGTGTAATGGTGGCATCAACTGCACATTGCTGCATTCCACACGGGAGTGTGGTGAGGCAGTTATTGCAGAATGATTTGTGGAAGACCTAATGATTGCTCAAGAAGAGAACATAAATAAACATTTGTCTCTCTAAGATGTAGTGATCCATTTAAAGATAGTTATTTAGTGTAAGCTTGGTTTTACTGTTAAAACATGTCAACTGCATGACTCCAAATTCTTTTATGAATTATATTTGCTTTAAAAAAAAAACAAAACAAAACAAAAAACTTTTGTTTAAAATGTTGACTGTATGGAATAACTCAAAGACTCGCTTGAGGACTTTTTGATAGGGCAGCAAAAATTACCAAACAGTTCTTCGTTACGAGTGGGATGGTATGTATGTGTGTATAATACAAAATCTCATATAGGTAAAGCCCTAAAAAAGTCATCTTGTACCAGCTGATGTAAGATGTCAGCCTTATCTTAAATGAGGATAGAGGGTGAAATCTCTGAAACTTCCCTAATTTTTAGTTTCAAAATTATTGTTTTAAATCTGTATTTTACAGTATTTTCATGGTAGGCTTCACTGCAATTACAAAATACTGTTATGCAGAGATGTTCCCCAAATTCTGATTCTGGCACAGCAATTTGTTCACATGAGAAAATCAGAACACTTCTAAATCTCATTCCCATAATTCTTATCAGTAATTTGTATTTTTGTATATTAGAGACATACAGGGCCTTTCATATAGCTTCGTTTTCCTATGTTCCCCTCAGAGATCAAGAAGCATTGGGTTTGTTTCTTTCTGTCATTACATTTTTGTACTGGTTTTGTTTCTAACTGCTATAAAGCTTTTTGTTTTTTTTAATTACTTAAAAACATTCTTCAGAAACTTACTGTCTCCTTTTGATGAGTTGTTCCTAAGTATCATGTACTTAATACAGGAAATACTGGAGGTTCTGGAATGTACTGTAGCTCAAGCTATAGAAAAAATAAATCCTGAAGAAAGGGATGAGCTGAAAGTGTCAGGTAAGAACATAGTCAAAAATCTGGTGGCATAAAAAGGTTTCATATGCAGTTATGAATAGGATGTTCATATATGTATATTTTTTTCCACCGTGTTTCATAATTGGAAATTCAAATGACATCAGTAGACACTGTCATACTTCGGGTAATCTAGAAGTTGGCTAAGAAAGTCTTGAATTCGTTTTTCTAGTTTTAACTTGCATCCCCTGAAGGCATTTTAAATGTATTTTGTGAATCTTTTGACTTTTCTGAAGCAAAATATTACAGATAATACTGCAGTTAAGAAATAGCTTTGGAAGCACATCTATTTGCAAAGTTTTTCCAGGTTGGATCTGAACTTGAAAGGATGCTAGTGCGTTTTGAGTCTCAGTAAGTTGTGAAGAGATCTGTTTGTACTGTTATGTTAGGGGGTTTTATACAGCGTGTTACACTTACTGCTAAGTGTCTTGGTGCTTAAATCCTAGCTTTACAGCTTATTAGATTATCTAACTGGATGGTTTCTTGTTCTGAGACTGCACAACTTTGAAATGTAAGAGAACAGTCTCTTTATTGGGCAGTCACCTTTCAAAAGGTGGGAGTTTTTTCCAATTTTTTAAGTAATTGGTGTATGTTCTAAGAACCCTTTACCCAAGAACTCAAAAGTAGGTGTATAGAGCAAAAATAAATAGCTATATACTTACTAATAGCTGGCTTGTTTAGTTATTGATTCCAGTTTCTTTGAAAATAGCAAAACTTTTCGTCGTTGGATCAAACTCCTCATCGATCAGAGATGCAGTTGACATGGGTAAGCGTGAAACTCAAACTTCTGGTATGGTTTCTTTTTTAGAAATTATTTAGAAATAAGTTTAGAACCTTTTCCATCTATGAGGTGTATTTAGTGACTGTCACAAGCATATCCTGTTTTTCTCTGAAGAGGGACTTAGGTAATGAAGTCTACTTATACATTAGTTCAGTCAGTAAACTTACTAAATGGGGATGACTGTAACCTTGGGTCCACAAACTCAAATCTGATTCCTTGCTCCAAGCAGGAGCAAGTTTTTATTCTTCCACAAAGGTTAAACAGTGAATAGCATGTAATGTCTTACTAGTTGTTGTTAGTTACCAATTGCTTTTAACATGATGAACTTCGCTACTAACTGTGCAGTACTTCAGAGATTATTTAAGAACTAAAACAATATTGCAAGTATCTGATGAAATAGTTAAGTTTTAAGTTTTGTCAGCCTAACATAGCAGTAATTGTGAGCAGCACTGCACATCACCACTTTGGAAGAATAGTTGGGCATAAGGGGTTACTGAAAAACAAAGGGTCAGCTATGATCCTTTTCCTTTGGTACCCCAGTTAATAGCCTCTTTATTGTAAGTTTGTTAAAAATACATTCATAGAATCCTTTTCCAGCAGAAAATAATTTATTTAGTGACTTGGTTTTATTCTTTTTGCTGTGCAGAAAAGGCCACATGACTTGCATCTTTCCTAAAGCTCAGCAGTGCTCCAAGACTTGCCACTTCTCTCTGGCAGTTTAAACCTCCATGTTTAGTGTGCTTTTCATCTAAATCATTGCATATATTAAATAGTTCTCCTAGCCCGTGCTCTGTGCTTAGGTTATAGTTTGGAGTGAACGTTAGGAATTTGGGAAGAAACTGAGTGTGAAGGAATCAAAAATTGTACATCACTAGTGTCTTCAGAGAAAAATGTAGTTTTAACATTGAAAAGGAAAAAAAGCTTCATGGGTGGGTGGGGTTTTTTTTGGTGGTGTGTTTTTTTTGTTGTTTGTTTATTTTCCCAAGACCTACAATTGAATCTTCGCCTTCAGCTGTGTGTTTGATTCTTTGCTAAAAACATTGCATAACTGTTCTTGGCTGCTGATACACTCAAGAGTTTCAAATGGTGAATGGGAAGCTAGCAGAGTGAAGCAGGAGATGTGTGTTTTGCTAAATTTGAGAAGTCATGCTGCTTACGTTTGTATCTTACAAAAGATTTTGCATTCTCTCTGTTCTTTTTCCTCAGCATGTTCTGCCCTTGGAGTAGCTCAGTTAGACTCAGTCATTGTTGCCCCACCTCCTGTTGAAGATGGAACTAGCCTCTCGGTGGAGTATTTGCAACCTTATTGGCAAGAACTTGAAAATCTAGTTCAAAACAAAAAGATTGTTGCCATAGGTACCTCTGACCTAGATAAAACGCTGTTAGAGCAGCTGTACCTGTGGGCACAGGTGAGAACAAACTTCCTACTTGTAGCATTTCTAGTAACTGTTTTGTTGGCTGCCACAATGTTATAAATGAGTTTATAGACAAAATATTAATCAGCCCTGTTATTTTCAGCATCTTACAGATGATCACAATGTTGTTCAAGGTGGAGGAGGCTCAAAGTGTAATTGTCACTTGGTCAGTTTTCTTATGTACAGGTCAGCAAAGGCTGGAAACCACAGGTCTGTTCAGTAGCAGGTTCTTTGAAGTAGTCAAGGTTTAAGTTTTGAATGTTCTTATATTTAGAAAGGAGTATAAACAGTACTCAAACATTCAGATTTATTCCAGTGGCTCTGAAAATATAGCAGTTTTCATTTCCCCTTAGAAGAATGCTGTTTGAGTGCTAAGCTTAAGTAGGACAGGCCATGAATCAAGCAGCACAATATTTTGTTGTCTGGTATGACTAATTGCATCTTGTAGCATTTAAGTGGTGGAGGTCTGTACTAGTGTGTGCTTGTGTAAGCTTGTAGTTTTACTGTTTCCTTCTTAGTTCTTTGATTACTCCTCTCTGTGATATGTGAACGGGCTGTATCTGTGTAAGAGGTCCTGCTGAGAGCTATGATCTGTGCTGTTTTGTGTACACTGAGAGGAGGATAATTGAGGGGATTAATGACCACCTGCATGGTGATTATGGATGCAGTTTGTGATGAGCAGAGTAAGTCAAGAGAGTCCTTTTTAACTTAATCTGATCTAGGCACTTACCTGATGGCATGGAAGACCGCAAATTATACATCCTTAACAAAAATTACTTGGATCTTTTTAAAGTGTTTTTGAAAATAATACCCCTATAATGTTTTTACTATGACCTGCTGCTGTTTAGGGAGCACAGCAGACAGGAAGCCAGAATGGGTTAGTACTCATCTTGCTGTGGCAGCACCTGAAGTTAGGTCCTATTCTTGTTTTGGAATCTTTGCTGCAGGAAATGGCAGTTGTAGGAGTTGCTGTTCAGCATCATGCGGAATTAATTGGCCTTGTTCAAACCTCAAAACAATAGTCAAAGACAAATTGTTCAAAACAAAATTTCTGTTGTAATAGCGGGCATGGGGGAAACAAATAATTACATTAATATTTTTCTTCTTACAAAAGTATTCTGTTACTTTCAGGTGAAACCAAGTAGTAATCAGGTGAACCTAGCTTCCTGTTGTGTGATGCCACCTGATCTCACAGCGTTTGCAAAACAGTTTGACATACAGCTGTTGACTCACAATGACCCAAAAGGTAAGGCTTTACTGGATGAGTTAACACAAGATTCCTGAATGCTTTTATTCAGTACAAAATCAGGAATAATCTTTCTCTGAACTTCAAACTTTGTTACATATGAATCCTGAACAAAGAATTCTACAAGTTTCACCTCTATAAAATACTTGTATTAAGTTCTTACTTTTGCTTCAAGAAAGGGGGGGAAAGGCAATCTTTCCACCTCGGATAGCTTATTGAAATCACTTTAATCAGAGAAAATAAATAGAACAAACTAATGAGAAACTTGTACTACTTATGTTCAAAAAATAACTTGTTTCCACAAAACATAAAATGAGTTGACAGTTGTATTGCTGAAGGCCAGTAAATGACAAATGAAAGTCCACTTGCCCAGAACTTGTCTGTAAAATAGCTTTTGTAGAAATGTTGGTGGTCAGTTGATTTTTTGAGTAGTTTGATAATGTTAGACGTAAAAATTATTACGCTTTAAGCAGGATACTTTCGAAGTAGTGACTTCTTAAAGTAACATATTACGAAAAGAGTTGGCGTAAATTCTTTTTGTGCAGAGATTCATTTATTAAATGATAGAAGGACTTGGAGGCTTCCCTTTAACCTCCAGAACTCTGAGTGACCAGCTCCCTAGAATATTCTGGAATATTATATTAGTTTCTCTCAATCATCATCTAATCTTCTTCACTATAACGACACCTTAAATATGTTTCTGGAATTTAAAGCGAGAAGTCTTAAAAAATATGTAGTTCATTCCTTCCCTACATTCTTCCTTACGACCAACTGTTCACGATGATTACACTTTTGCTTTCTTCTCCTTTCTTCCCATTCCCCCCTCCCCCCACCCCAAAGAAAAAAGTATTTATGACGTATGTATTCTATAGTATCACTGTTAACAACTAATGAATTTCATCAGTGCTTGAGCATGTATCAGCACTACTCTGGCAGTGTACAAGATGAATTGCCATTCAATGCAACAATTTTCATGTCTTGTGAAGTCCAAAGTGCGATCTGCAGTTCAGTAAATGCTCTATTGAGAGTTGTGAAATGAAGAAGAGGATTTGGATAGAGAGCAAAGCAAGAAGTGATTCCCTTACACATTGTTTGCTAAGCTTAACTTTTCTGCAATGGTCATCTGAAGAGTTATTGAGACTATCTTTTGGGAACACTCCTCATCAAAGAGATTGTTCCCTTAACTGACTTTCCAGAGGAAACTAGGAGGATTTGTACTTGCCTTCCTTTTCTGCTTTGTGGCATTTAAGCCCATTTTTCTTAATGCTTTCTGGGCTTGTGGTTGTTATGAGCCCAGTTGTGGGAGATGCTCTAAATGTTGAGCTTCCAGTGACTGCAGAGGAAACTGAGAAGGTTCAGTACTTTGCTGACTTCAGCCTTATGTTTTACTCACCTCTGGTTTGTCTAGCTAGCTTCTTAAATTTAATTTCCATTTTTTCCTGCTAATGGCTTTGCTGATCAACTCCATTTGATATCGTAGAAATCTCAGTTAATTACTTTTGTGGGAAATACTCAATGTTGCAAAAAAAGCATCCTGAAGATTTCTTCTGTAGTATTCAGCTGCTTTTACCCTACATGCATTCCAGAAGAGTGGATCTGTGGAGTATCTGGCACTGCTAAAGATTTTTGACTGTAGGAAAAGGCTTCTCTTAGTAAATGTTGCTTTTTGCAGCTGTTTACATGACATTATTTAAAGCATAAATGTCCTTTTTTTAACTTCAGAATTACTTTGTGAAGCAAGTTTCCAAGAAGTTCTTCAGGAAAGCATCCAGAACACGAAAGCACATGAATGGATTCCTTTATGGCTTCTCCGGTATTCAGTCATTGTTAAAAGCAGAGGAATTATCAAGTCCAAAGGCTATATCATGCAAGCTAAAAGAAATGCCTCTTAAAATACTTTCATTTTCTTTTTCTTTTCCTTTCTTTTTTTTTTTATATTTTAAAGCCTTACTGTTTCAGTTTCTTGGGGATGAGGGTAACATGGCGCTTATTTTTCATAGAAACTCTTTTACAGCATTTGTAAGAAAGACCAAAAGTTGTAATTACTCAGTGTGGTGTCAGCAGGAGTGTCTGCAGTGTTCTAACACTATTTTTCTTTTTTAACCTATTGACCAGTTCATTTAAAATATGAAATATTTTGTGTTTGTTGTTTTAATTGAAATTATCTATAGAGAAACAGTTGAAAATATTTTTCTTTGTATGACCAGTTCACTGTAAAATTATCATTATATTTTAGCTGCCATTAGGTAGTATAGAGAAACTTATATATTTTTATTTTTTAAAAAATGAATTTCTCTTAAATAATAGTTACTTATTTGGTAGGTCCATAGATTTCAAGCATTCAAAGACTAGTTTTTATAGAAAATGGTAATCTTTTACGAAAAATTACTCCCCCAAACTAAACTGGTATTTCATTATGTGGTATGTATATATCGGCAAGTCAGCGGTTTAATTTGTGTGTATGGGGAAATGGTTTTATTTTTAGTATAGTGTAAAAGACCTCTATGATTTAGAAAAAAAATGCATCTTCCAAATTACTTTCTGACCGTTACTTGAATTACTTCTGGCTTCTTTGTGCCTCAGTACACTTTATTTAGCGTTTGCACAAGTGTGATGGTATCTTTATTGTTTGAAATAGAAAATGTATTACATTGTGTGAATGTTCAAAATAATAATTGAAAACAAGTGATGAAAAAATCTGTTAATCAAAAGTTGAATTGTGCCTGTCTTCTCAACTGTGGCTCTTTTTTTTTGGTGCTTGTGAACTACGCAATCAGAATGGGCCAAGTCAGAACAGGTAGTAAACGTTGAAGCTGTTCGCTGTAGAATTGTGTAAAAGGGATGACCTCTTTTGGGGTTGCCTAGGAAACGCTGTTGCTTGAGTGCCATTCAAAAATGATGCAGGCAAGGGTTAGCTTGAAGTTAGGTATATATCAGTTTGGCAGTGGCTTAGCACACTGGCTTTTGAGTCCTAGAGAGATTGCTGCAGCTAAGGCAGGGCTTCTGGATTAATATAGTCTTTCTGTCGAAAAGGCCTTTTCATTGCCTTGGCCTTTAAATCAGAGTAGACAGCAAAAGCTCAACTTGTAGTTCAGCAGAAGCTTGATACTGGGTGTCTAAAATACTTGTTTTCCTTTTGATTGCAGCGGGAGCAGGGCTTCATACGAGTAGTACTCATTAACTTGGCAGTACTCATTAACTTAGCTGTATGGATTTTGAGATTTGGGTTGTAAGGGAAAGAATTTTCACCAACACGTTTCAAATTCTGTCATGTCATGTAGGTAGCCAGTGGAATTTGACTGCTTGTGGGCAGTGTCTAGAGTGTCAGCTTCCTATAAGTTACGAAGTTAACTAAACTAAAAGATGAATCTTTTTCAAGATACCTTTTCAGTCCTCAAATATCTTATCTGTAGATGGCAAATACTGGGAAATTCTGCTGGACTTCTTCAGCTCTTTTGATAAATGAGAGAGAGAGAGAAGAACTGGAACTAGTAATGCATCAATAAAAGTTTGAATTTCTTTCTTGTAATCAAAATGTAGGGTTTTTTTTTTTAATGTCTGTTCAGTGTGTATCCGAGTTTCTGAATTACCTGAGTTTCATTTTAAACTTCCCTACCAGCTTTGGGTTGTGTGCTGCTGTTGATTAACCACTGTCGGTAAATTCTGTCCGTGTTTGGCTGTTGACATTCTGTATTGTATTACTCGCATGTGTGCTCAGTTTTATACATTGAAATGCTACAAAACAAGAATTGTGCTGAAACAATGTGTAGGCTGCGCTAATGGGATAATTATTTATTTCTTTTCTGTAAACTGTTAACAGTTTGCTTGCTGTAGAAAAGTACCCTTTAAGACATGATCGTTTTAAGACCTGGTAATCTTATTTTTCTACAGTCGCCGATAGTGTAACATTTTATCAGGTTGTCTCATTGATTTGTGTTATGTCAAAGTGGGAAAGATGGGATTTCCTTCCATGAGAAACTTGAAAGTTTGAATTAAAATTTGAAATTCTTGTAGGCTTTTAATCTGTGCTTTGTATGAATTCTCATCGCCTCGGTAAAAGTGTTTTTTACGCTTTGTCATAAAATGGTCTTAAGCGTCCTACACTTGGATTTCGTCATCTGATGGCGTTCCCTAACCGGGAACGCGCGGTGCGCCAGTCTGCGGTCGCCGCAGTGCTGTTCCCTACGAAGCCGACACACCGCACGGTACCGCTCTGTTCCGCCGGTGCGCGGAGGGCCGCTGTTCCCTGTTTCAGCCGTTTTTACACGCCGGGGTTAACGGGCAGGAGCGTTCCCTCCCTCCCGCGCGGGGCGGGGCGGGGCGGAGGTGGCCGCGTGCTCCCG